TCTAGTGGCAGTCTATAAACTTACCAGGGGGGACCAGAGGGGAATGGGTGAGACCCTTTTTTCCTGAGTGCCTCCCGGAGTAACAAGGAATAACGGCCACAAGCTGATTGAGAGTAGGTTCAGGCTAGACACCAGGAGGTGCTACTTCTCAGTCAGGGAGGGCGGGACGTGGAACCAGCTTCCAAGGGAAGTGGTGCTGGCTCCTACCTTAGGGATCGTTAAAAGAAGGCTTGATTACTACCTAGCTGGGGTCATATGAGCTTAACTTAGTGGGGGTCATATGAGCCCAGTATTCATTCCATGGCAAGGGGTCAGACTTGATGATCTGCTCAGGTCCTCTCCAACCCTACATCTATGAATAAATGTGTTTTTACTGTTTATATACCAGCACTTAAGATACTATGGCTTAAATGCTAGAGAAAAAAAAATCAAATACTAAAAACAGGTTATTCAAAGATTCTAAGAACAAGTATTCAAAGAGTAAATCTGACAGCATTACCTGGTACAGCACCTTTCAATAGCAGGGAATTTTTCTGGCCATGGTGACAGGTATTTGAACTCTGTATCTCTGTCATGCCAGTACATTAGGCACCCACTGTGTGTATTTCTTTGCCTCTCCTCTTCCATTAGGTATTTGTTGCAAGATTCCATGGCTTGTAGCAATCGTTTCTAAATTAAAGATTTCATTTGTTCAAAATAATTAAATGTGAAATTGTACGTAGGAAAGAGTGAAAGCAAAACAAAAACATTCTCGATTGTCCTGCCCACTCTTCTTAAAATCTCACTTTACTATTTAAGGTAAGAATTTTTATGCCTTCTTACTTTAGACATTTATCTCCAAGGCAGGTGGATAAACTACACTGCTTGGCTATCGTAACCAGTATGTAAGTGCTGCCCTGATTTCTTTCCTGCCTCCCCGGTCCAAAATAAAACAAAATGATTAGGTGGAATCTTTCCTAGATACAGGCATTCAGAACAAATTTACCATAATATAAAAAGTATTTCATTTTCTCCCAATTACATTAATAAAAAAATACCTCAATTTCTTCTGGATCGGCTGTTGGCAATGTTTTTTAGCAGACAGATGGAATTAACTAGCTCAGGCCTGAGGCAAGCTGGAGCTAAGACCTAGCTGCCACTGCCACTTCTCTCAACCACTGCATAGGTAAAGCCCCCACAAAAGCCCCTAGCTCCACAGGCTGCATCCACTGGCTCCGTAGGCCACAGGTTTCCAACTCTTGTCCTAGATAACTAACATTACCAATTCTGTGAGTTTCATAGCCTGTAAATGACGGCAAAAGCAACAGCATTATACCTGCCTGGCAGTCCTTTGCATAATACCTCCTCCCTCATACCCATGAGAAGTTGTAACCACTGAAAGCCACATTAAGAACTGTGTAAAATGCCATTGGGCTGATGAGTCCACCTGAGTAGCTCCCAGTGCAGGATCTGAGATTTTATGACCCAGATTTTATGGCCTCTTCCTCATTTTTTCCCCCTGAATATTATGCTTAATTTTAATTTAATGTAGCCTGAGTCTATATCGCCTATTGCTATACATTCAAAGAGAAAGTGATATTTTTAGACCCTTTTTTCTTATACTTAACAGAAACAATTTGAACCAAACTAAAACTTGAAGTGTTTCCCTTTAAAGTCTTTCATCCATAAATACTTTTCTCATCTAGAGATTTTTATGCATGTATAACTTTTGTCCAAACTGCTTCTCTGATATATTGTAATAAGACAAAATTAAAGACATTTCTGGGAAAAATGTTATACTTGAACTAGGGAAAGCCAATTTTGCAAGTTTAATTTGTAATTCCTCTTGGCTAGAGTTAATGGTACTTCTGGAAACTAACAACAGTTTCTTGCCTTTTGTATTTTATTCTTTAATCTTAACTTCAAATTTCCAGGCAACAAACATAATATTCTGTAATGTTCTAATCACATACGAATGTAAATATATCTATTTAAAATCTTATCTGTAACTGAGAATCAAAAGACTTATCTGGATGATTTGTTTGCCAAATCTTTCACATAATCTGTTGTCAAAGTACTCACTTCCTCAATAAATGGAATTAACACCACAGCTTCCCATTCTTGCTGTTTTCCATTTAAGTCCGTTTTAAAATCTGGTGGATAGTATTCTATGATTGGAGAGTCTTCACTAGTCATCAAGTGCTAGGAAATGAGAAAAAAAGTGACAGAAGAGTATGGTAAAGCTGTAATTTCACAGACAATTTAAGATTCAACCTAGGATGATGTAATATCTGAACCACAGTGTCAGATCAAATTAAATGTTGTATGGAAATTAAATAATTATATAGCTTATTTATTATTTGTGTTACAATAATTAGTACATTTTTACTCTCCAAAAGTAGTATCACTTGAATTAAAATTTCAGGGTCAGTCTGACAACAGGAACAGGAGAGAGAGAAAAAAAGTTCCTTCTTTTAAAAATAGGCTCATAGTAAAGTGAAAATCAGCTTTATATGCCACAAATATATAAAGTCTACCTGGTAGCATTTAGGTAGCAGATCTTTACTAGCTGCTGGAAGTACTGCAAGAAGTTGTTCAAACGGCATGAAAGGTTTTCCTAACTCAAACTGGATTTTGAGTTTACTGATGTTGCGAATATCTGATAGGTAAGGTGCATAATGATAAGGATAATACCTAAGGAAGAAAAAGCAAACAGTTATTTGAGTTTATTTCAGTGTCACAATGTACACAATACAGAACACTACTTTTAGTGCTAGAGGTGCACTGATATATTGGTCCGATATTGTATCGGCACTGATAAAAAGAAAACTGACTGTATTTGAAATAGGCCTTTTTTTTGCCTGATGTGGTCAATAATTTGATAAATGCCCTGTGCATGCATGCAGCTGGAGCATAGCACGTAGCTGGCGAGGAGCACAGCACGGCTACTCAGACAGCTGTGTCCAGCTGATAAGTCTGTTGTGATGGAAGGGGAGGGAAGAGGAAAGAGACATGGGAGGTGGGGCAGATCAAGGCCTCTGCAGTCAGGGAGGGAGTGGGGCAGGCAGGTGCTGCCCAGCCGAGTTGAGGCATGGGATAGAGCCACAGCTCGTCTGGGACATGCGGGGAGGGGCGTAGTGGTTCCCACCACTGCACGCACACCAGGAGGGCATGGGGGGGCATGTGCCCCTGGATCTGCATGAGGGGCAGGACAGGCTGCTGCTGTGGGCTGGGACTGGGGGCTGCACTAGGCGCTTCCCAGGGCCTGTGCTTGGGATAGGCAGCAGCACTGGGAGAGAGGATTAGGAGCCTACAGTGAATTTTGGGGTGGCTGCAGCTCCCCTCCGCCTTCCCAGCACCGCCGCTGCCCTGGCCCAGCCCCAGCCAGGAAGAGCTCGGCACAGCCACGGCCCCAGCCTGCAGCAGCAATCCTCCCCATGCAGAGCCAGGGGCACACGTCCCCCCATGCCCTCACGATATGCTTGCAGCAGTGGGAGCCACCCTCATTTCCTGCCCCCCCCCGATGAGCCACAGCTCCATCCCGTGACCCACCCCTACAACAAGGAAGAGATTCATCTGAACAGCAGAACTAACAAAGTAGATGGATTCATCCTCTGAGAGGAGGTTAGCCATCTTCTTGGCAGTGGTAACCAAGTGCAGTAGAGGTCCAAAAGGGACAAGTTCTTCAGGAGGAAATACATGGGGTTATGAAGAGCAGGGTCAGTCATAGTAACAATAATGAGGATGCCAGCCAGAGAGACCATAAAGCTAGTGACAAATACACAAACAGTAAACTCTGAATCCCTGGAAAGTAGGATAATCCCAAATGGAGGAATACAGCCACTGTGCTGTGGTTTCCACCCACTGTTTGTTCAAGAAATGTTACCTAGAATGATTGAAAGAGATGAAGAAACAAATCTGTTGTTGGATGCCCTTCAG